CAGCCGTGGCAACAGCCCTCAGTGTGAAATGACAGATGCGGGTTCCTGGTCGAGGCCGCCAACCTCCACCCCGCAGTCCGTGGGTCATCCGAGTGCCATTCCGGACATTTGGCCTGAAGGTGCACTTGTGCCAGACTCACTGCGTTTTCCTGAGAGTTCGATGCCACTTCATGTAACAATACAGATTTGGGAGGGACGACGACAATCTTTACAGTGGTACTACTTTGCACCTTTCCATGTGGCAGCTTTCTCAACATTCTTCATCTTACATTAATTTGCAATTACATTAATACAGTAGGCAGTTGCATTATGGAAACTGCACTAATGTAAATATTCAGGCTAAATATGAGAGCGTGCTCTCGTGCATTTAAGATGCTCTTAAGATGCTTTTAAGAGCTATGACTGTATTCACACACTTGAGGCTCTGACCTGTGGAAAAGCCAGAAGAATATTGCAATACTTTATTTTATAAAACTGCATGAAAGAATTCTCGATCATTTGCTTTGAGCATCTACCCATCTTGTTCTTGTTAATAAAAACTGAACGAAATGAAATAATGTATTGATCTGGGATCCCATAGGAAAGCCCTTAATATTGTTCTCTTTCTTTAACAGTTAGCGATTAAATAGAATGATGATAAAGCAATTCACTTCTTTGTCGTGTCCTTGTAGGTCTGCACTTTTGCCTAAAATGGCCAAGCAAAATTCTCCATCGCTAACTGAAGTTGTAAAGCAAGTTGCAGAGCAGCAACATTCACAAGCATCAGAGATAGAGAAAAGCAAAACAGTTCTTTTCCAACTGCAGGTAATAATCCTTGTTTGGAGCAGTTTAATTCATTTAATTTTTTCATTAGATGAGGAAGTATTCCTATGAACAGGAGAAGCTGATGGTACTTCATTTTTAATGTGTGTTTGCATCTAAGTGTAAGGCAGCTGTTCTGTTCCTGTGTGTGTCATTTAGGCTTAGACCAAACTGTGTATGTGTACTGTTATTTATACAGCTGCAACATAGCTAAGACTTCACTAGAGCAGGTTATAGCAGAAGATTTCATTTTTTGTTTGGAAAAAAACAAACCAAACCAAACGCCAAAAAAACACTGAGATAGCAAACCCACAAAAACTCAATACAAACTTAGAGCTCTTTGAATTTTTCGTAGTGATTTCCTGAGAAATTAATGAAAAAAAAGCATTTTAAAAGCATCCTTTTTAGAAGATTTTCACCAGACTCTCTAATTTTTTTAGCATCTTTTTCATACAAAATACTTTTTTCTGTGTGTTTGAAGTGTGTGTCCTAAATAGTCACAAAATACTGGTTTTATTTAGTAATATTTTGTAGAACACTGGATACATGTAGTTTTCATGAAGACTGTGTAATAACTTCAGTTCTAATCTCTCACAGAAAATATTAAATCTGAGGAACGGCACAATAGCATTCAGGCATTTCTGAGCATGGGAGAATGCAAACAGAAATAGTAGAGTTCCAGTTACGGCATGTGTGAACAGCCCTACAACTGGAAGAACTGAGGTTTAAAATTTTGTACAAAGATAACTTCTCTGAAGGAGCAGTGAAAACTTATATTGCTTAGGAAAGTTACACAGAAACTTTTTGTTCTTAACAGTTAATCACATCTTAATCTCTTCAAGACATTGAGTAGGAGATTTCATAGCACTTGTAATGCTTCCACTAGGGAAAAGATAATAGGTGACATAAATCACGATGCTAATTCTCTCACTTAATGCCCTACTGTTGGCTGTTACTTCGGGTGGGATTCATCATAATGAGCTTACATCACCTACAAGTCAGACGTGAAGCCTGTATTAGTCATCTGGGCTCCCTCAGTAGTCATCAAAGAGAGATAAACATTTCTGAGTTGGCAGTTCAGCCCTCCCATCTTAGATTCAAGTGTAGATGTGGCGCTGAGGGACCTGGTTTAGTGGTCAACTTGGCAGTGTTAGGTTTGCTCGATGATCTCAAAGATCTTTTCCAAGCTAAATTATTCTATGATTCTATGCTTTCTTAGGATGGGTTGAAGTACCACTTCCTGCAGTTATTCACTTCTCTTCAGTGAGAAGTTGTAGAGGCCTTTTTAGGACTAGATTCATATTTCTTAGGGGGTTAAAAATAGTTGGCATTACTCCTACTCTCAAATACTGCTGTGATGAAGGTGGGATTAAAAACTTCAGTAGAACAGGCTAGTTAAGCTACATCACCCCAAATACCCACCTATGTGTTTGTGGGGGTCCGTAAGTGATTTTTGACATCAGTAGTTATTTTTAGTCTGATTAGGACTTAACCAGATTTCAGCTCTAAACAAACATTAGGATTGGGTTTAATCTGTCATGTCCTATGTATCTTGCAAATACGAGGCATTTAAGGTGATTTCAAGGATACTTTATTTCATATTTTAGACTCAGTCTAAGGGGAGAAGTCCAAGATAGAATTCACGCATTGTGCCTCTAAGGTGATGGTTTCAGGAAATGGAACTCTAATTATCTCCCATTCAAGCCACATTAAAAAAATGAAAAAGAAGACTCTGTTGAATAAATATAAATTACAGTGTTTAACTAGATACCTAGTATCCTCTCAAAAAATGTTCTTAAGTGCACACTGAAATATTTTGCAGGCAAAGTTTCAGGAACTAGAAAAAGAAATGGATTCTATTCTGTTAGAAACGAAGACAACAGAAAGGGAAATATATCTGCAAGATGATGCTATAGAAGTGACAAAACATCACTGTGAAAATCTGGAGGCCCAAGTCAGAGCCCTATATTCTGAAAATTTAAAGCTGAGGCATGATGCAGAAACAGTAGAAGAAGAGTTTGAGATGACATTTGCAAGAAATAATGAATATCGGGACAAAATAAAGGCTCATAAGCATCTCTTTTGGAAGATGGAAAGTAAAATGCCAGTTATGCTTGAGCTTGCTAAAAAGAAAGCTGTTGTTAAAGAATTAAAGACAAAGAAAGAGGAGTTAATGCGTGATTTCCAGAATCCAGAAGGATGTGTTATAAAACAAGTGCAGGTACTATATTTCTTCTTTGATTCTTTTCCTTTTGTGTGAAATAATTTTGGCATAGTTTAGCTAATATTATTATTTTGTCTAATACATTTTATGGTTCATGAGGGACTGGCCACAGGGAATATATATAATTTGTAATGCTATATTAATTGAAGAACTTTTTAATTCGGTATGCAGTAAAAATCATCATCAGACATTGTTATCTGTATATTGTTGTAAAAGTCAGGTTCATTGTATGTGATCAAATTAACTCATCTATGAAAAAAAATTACAGTGCTGTAAATGAAACAAGATCATTGCCAAGCTATTTGTGGGCTTTGGGTTGTTGGATAAACTTACATGGACTCTTTTCAGAATTCTGTGGAACGTTGCCGTGGCGTTACATTTTTCATGTCAGATCACAGTATTCTTTGAACTTTGCTGTCAGGTTGCAAACTGTTGAGCTGTTTGTCAACAGGAGGTAGGTTTAGTGACATGGTGATAGAAAGGAGTGAGGAAAAATATATTTGTTTTGGTATTCTACTCTAACACTGTTGTTTTTACTTGACCCCAGTTGCAATACTCATTAAAAAATACCATGTAGGAATTTTTCACTACAAAACTGTACCAATATATGAGCAAACACAAGTATGAAGTTGAAATGGGGTCACAGATTTCAACCCTGATGGAACTTGCTTTATTGAAAATCTGGTGTTACTCTATTCACGTAAATTGATGAAAATTTGGCTGTAGAAGCAAATCTTTAAATACTGATAAAGACTCTTAAACATTGCATTTCCCTATGAGAAAGAAAAATCTATCTCAAAAATGACATTAAATATTCTTTGATTTTTCAATAAATTAAATTTTAAACGAAATTAAGACCACCAAAATGAGTTCAAATCCCTGTATTGTTGTGGCTGTTTGCGTATTTCAGATCAAGGGTGTATCTTCTTAAGTATCTAAAGCCATGTTATAAATTACTTTAATTATTATTTTTAATTACCATTCTTAAATTATTATTAATTCAATTATTATTATTTTAATGTGAAATTGTTTATTATAGATCTTTATCTTGTCTCTATTCATGAAGTGAGACTGTTAATGACTGACATTTTTAGTAAGTTTAATGGAGGTACAGTACAACTTTTTAGGGAAGGGTTTTCTGTATCTTGACTTATATCTGCAGGAAGAAATTACACTTTTAAAAGGGGAAATCACAACACTGAAAGAGTTCATCAATAAAAAAACAGATTTGCTGGAAGAGGAGAAAAAAATGCATGCTAAGCTTAGAAAAGAAATTGAGGTGAGTCATTTGAATAAAATATAATTACAGTTCTGACAAAACGTAGATAGTGCAGATGAAGTTAGAAGTACTTTATACACTGTTGCTGGGCATACATTATTCAAGTATATAGAGTAACCATGCTATCTTAAATTCTTGATACTGATAGGCTTTCGAAAATTCAGCACTTAATTGCTATCATGAGAAAAATTGAAGTTAAGAAAATTTTTTCATAAGTCTTCTAAGAAGGAGTTCAGCAGTGAACTTTTGGAATGATGTCCTGAAAAGAAAGAGGTCACTGAATGGTAGTAAAGCAAAATGCATGGTTTTTTTATTTCTGTAATACTTTTGAAATACTTTAAATTTCACTGCTGGCTTGATTATTCATGACTTGTCTCATAGTTCCTGATAACTCTTCAATGGAAGAATCAATTGCACCAAGAAAATGGAATTCCCATGAATCTCCCTAATTGGAGCTGACATTAAATTAGGGATAACACAGCAGCTCCTAATTAGCTGCCAAGATAAAATTCTGATAAATAGTTAAAACATTCTCTTTTTAAATAATTGAACTATACTTCACATTTTGTTCCTTACTAAAATACTTTGTATGTCTAGATAGTTTTTAGTTTGGAAGTTTCACATCATTTATCTTGTTAGTTCAAATAAATGCTGCAAAATTTAATGAGCAAAGCTTGATAATATACAGATTAACTGATCTAAGGTTAGCTCTGTTGCCCATTGTAAAATGTAGGAGGAAAAAAGAATCATTTATCATGTGATAGGGAACAGCAGGGAATTTTTAAACTGAAAAGCAAAACACAGCCACTTTAGAATATGTCTATGTTATTCAGCATCTGAGAAAATAATTTATTATCAAGGCAACATCCTCCTAAGAAAGTTCTCTAAACCCAAAGTGAAATTAGGCAGTCTAAAAATAATGTTCTGTTCTGTATCAAAATCAATTTAACTAAATAGCGAAGGTTAACCCGCTCTTCAGTTGTTTGAATTATGTGATCTTTTTGTCTCAGAAGGAAGCAGGTTTAAAAATAGAATCTTTCAGGGTTTTATTTTCTATTAAGAGTTCTCCAAAAAACAATCTGATTTGTAATATAAAAACTGACAATGGACAGGCAGAGACACAAATACCCAGCTGTCCTCAGTACAACTGAGGAAAGAATACTCAAGCCAGGCATGGGAATAAAGGGAGATACTAGACACCTGGATGAGGTTCCTTTGAGCTGCAGTGGTGGGATTCAGCTACAGACTGCTGACACCTACATGTGGTTGTTTGAATGCAGGTGCCTGCATGAGTCAGACAGGTTCCCATTATAATCACTGGAGGTGTAGTCAGTGCAGTCAATGTATTCTAGAGATCAATTCAGTTGGCCATCTGTAGGTGTTTACAGTAGGGTGAGCTGCATAATCTGGTCTTTCTAAACTTTATAGCATGCATTGGCTAGATTTCGAGTCATCAGAACAGGAATGTAGGTCACACATATACCTCTAAAGCTAGGTGTCTTAATCTGCAGACTGACCCCACCTCAAGACTTCAGCACTTGTCATAGGACTTTTACATATTGCATGGATTCTCAGCTTCTAGCACTGCATGGGCCAAAAGTCACTGGCCTCCTTATAACTTCATGGAGTCAACAAGGCCAAGTGCAAGGTCCTGCATGTGCATTGGGCAATCCCTAGTATCAATACAGACTGGGTGATTAATTGAATGAGGGCAGCCCTGTAGAGAAGGATTTGGGGATATTGGTAGATGAAAAATTGGATATGAGCCAGCAATGTGCAGTCACAGCCCAGAATGCCAAGCGTGTCCTGGGCTGCGTCAAAAGCAGTGTGGCCAGCAGGTCGAGGGAGGTGATTCTGCCCCTCTAATCTGTTCTCTTGAGACCCCACCTGGAGTACTGCGTCCAGCACAAGACAGACACAGACCTGTTGGAGCAGGTCCAGAGGAGGGACATGAAAATGGTCAGAGGGATGGAACACCTCTCCTATGAGGAAAGGCTGAGAGAGTTGGGGTTGTTCAGCCTGAAAAAGAGAAGGCTCTGAGGAGACCTTAACGCAGCCTTTGAATATATAAAGGGGGCTTGTAAGACAAAAAGAGACCTTTTACCAGGTCCTGTAGTGATGGGACAAGGGGCAATGGTTTTAAACAGTGGAAGCAGGGTAGATCTCGCTCGGACATAAGGATGATGTTTTTTGGTTTGGGTTTTTTTTTTTACAATGAGGGTGGTGAGACACTTCAACAGCTTGCCCAGAGAAGTTGTCATCATTGGAAGTGTTCAAGATCAGGCTGGATGAGGATTTGAGCAACCTAATCTAGTGACAGGTATTCCTGCCCATGGGAGGGGGTTGGGCTAGATGATCTTTGAAGGTTCCTCCCAAGCCAAACCATTCTGCAATTCTGTGATTCATAAATTTGCAAAGAGTATGTGTCTCCATATACAAGCCTCCAGATACAAGCAAGTCATTGCATCTGATTAATGAGTTTGCTGTTGCTGTAGGACTTCTGGAGCCTTGATTCAGCAGTGATTGTAAGGACTCATCTAAGTCTGCCCCTATAGAGCCCTAAACTTAAATGTCTACAGAATTCCTGTTGAAGCCTCATTAATGGCTAAGCTGGCACTCAGACAGAATGGACGGACCCTCACAGCCCTGGTGCTCCCACTTCACCTCAGTATTATTCTTGGTTTCCCACTAAGATTTCCCAAACAAAGCACATTGTGCAGGAACATAATTTGGAATGCCTTTCTAAAGCAGCTGAATTTTGGAAAGTTAGAAATTATTGATGAAACGTCTTTCTGCAAGGAAGTTTGTGCCTAAGCTTCCTTTCTGCTAAGCAATCTGACATTGCTAATTAATAAACCCTACAATTAATTCATAACTGGGATGCTTCTCATCAGGCAGGGTACTGATTAGGCTCTTAAGGCAGTTTGTAGACCTTGTCCCACTCCTTTTCCTGAGCACCAGCCCCACCACCCATCTCTTGAAGAGAAGAGCCTGTTCCTAGCCTTAAACAGGGACACCAAGAATAAATCAGGGTGGTTACCTGTGTAGGGACAAGGCTTCAGCTATAAAGACTAATTCAAGACATCCACAAATAATAGAAAATAGGTTGTTATGTAAAAGTACTAAGAAAAAGAAAGATCAAAAGACAGTCTATTCCCTTGCTGCCCTCTTTTCCCCACGTCAGCGTGCAGCTATACTATTCTTGGCAGACGCTTGTCTATTGTGTCCTTGAAGGACCCCAGAGGTAGCAATTCCATGAGTGCCCAGGCAATTTTTTCTAATGGTTATCTTCTATGTGCACAAGGCCCAGTAAAAAGAGCAATATTCTCCCTCCCCTCTGTCCAGTAAGTGTATTAGTGCTCCCTGCCTCAGCAGGTGTGCCAGACTGTTCTGAATAATGATGCTAGAGACACATTCCTAAAAAAAAAAAAAAAAAAGAAAAAAAAAAGAAAAAAGCCGGTAATATTGATCATAGATGTTTCAGTGTTGTACAACAGAGTCCTAGCGATGGTCAGATCCTGCAAGCACTCATTCAGATGAGAGAATCTGACAGCATCCCTTGAAAAAGTTGTGAAGGATTATAGTGGAGAGCCAGGCAGCATGGAGAAAGACAACCCAAGACCAGTAAAAGAAGACAGTAATTTATAAAACATTAGTGAGGGAGGGAGTTAACTATATGTGAAATTTAGGCAGACAGACTCACAGGAAGTCACTGGCAATGCTGTAGTTCTGATGCAGCTGTACACCATCATGTGTATGTTAAATACAGTGTAATAAAGTTTCACTAAGCAGACACAAGAATAATTATACACTACCACTCACATGCCATTCAGACTAGGGTAAGTAAGCCCAAATTTTCATTAAGTGAATACCCATTATTTCCATTTTTATTATAATGAGCCTTTCATGCTTTCACACTTCAGAATGCAGATCTTCAGCAGGTTGCCTGCAGCAGCCATTCTTCACATAAGGCAGCAACGAGGGCAAAACTGATACAGTACTACACTGCCACGGTATTGCCTTTCTCAGGAAAACATACCTTTTTAAGTGCAGTGCATCAGTGAAGATGGTACTGCAGCCATCTACGTTACCTCATTTGTATTCTAATTTATACCCAAACACACTTGTCAAAGAATGAAAATTTCTTCCTTTCTCACCTCTCCCTCTGGACCCTGAAATCTTCCATGCGCAGAATGTTGCCACAGCTGTGAGATGGTGACTCTTTGGGTGGGATTTGCTTGATTAAATTTTAGACATCTACAGAGCAGATACCCACACTGAATGCCTCACTTAAGCTCTTAGTGGGACAGAGCTTTTCTTTCCCTTACTGGGAAAGAGAGGCTCGATTCACAGTGTTCTAAAGCAGGTATCCGAAATAAGTCAGATGAATTGCTTCCTAGATGTCTGTGTCTCTTCCGTAGCCATA